CTCCTGTTGCTAAACAGGATTGGCTGGAAGCTTGTCTTCTAGTACAGAGATCATTCTGACCTTATAGTTTTCTTTTGTTCAAACTCATTATATAAAAACATTTGTGCTAATATCATCAGTTTTTTTTAAAAAATATGTCTATGTCTTCTCTCCATCGTGCACAATCCTTTATTTCTGACAGAGGTTTTGGTGTTATTTTTTGGTATGTGTTGTTTCTGGATATCTTATGCTTTTGTATCTTACATAAAATCCTTTCTTGTTGATTGTGTCATCCGTGTGAAAATGAATTAAAATGGCATCCCCAATTGAATAGATTTCTTCTGGTGGCTGAAAGAAAACAAAACAACAGAATGAGTTGCTTTTTCTTCATGGCAATGCATGTTTGAGCATGTTTTTCTTTGGCATATAATTCCACCCTCCCAACAACCTTGACAAATCAATATGATTGACTGCTTCCGTTTACAGATGAGGAAACTTGAGACTGAGAAAAGACAATGTTATGCTAGACATCAAAAGGCTAGTCAATGCTATAGCTGGGCTTCAAACCTGCATGAGCCTGTTTCTACTTTCCTTTCTAGATTTGTATTTCTTCCCCAAACCCTTAAGGCAAGTTTTTTAAAAAATATATTTATAAAGAGAGGTCATAAAAAGTAAAGGGATGTTAAATTTGTTTCAAATTGAGTCAAAGCCACTCTAGAATTGAAATCTTCAATTAATTTTTGCTTTAATAATTTAAGTAGCAAGAAATTTCTTTTTTCTTTATTTCAGTTGTTATTTGGGCAAAAGTTCAACAGTATTATTTAGGCAATAGATACTGGCAGACATTCAAAAAATTGGGACTAATATATTCACAACAGAATATGTATTCAGAAGACTATTCAATATTAATTCAGTGCATCCCAGGAAAGAAGCATTGAAAAAACCTTAATCTTTCTTTTTTTGGTTCTCATTTCTCATGGTGACCTTTTCTAGCCCGTTTCTGGCATTTTGCACTTGTACATGAGACACTGTGAAATGAACAATATTCCTAGAGCATAGACTGAGCCAACATACCAGCAGCTGACCCTCCACTCCCACCAAGAATATCAGCTGAAAAGGGAATGTCAATTAGAATGATGTGCATATTCTTTCTGTTAATGCTTTAATTGTGGAAGGTGATGAAATCATTAAATTTATGTGTTTAAGTTTACTGCACTTAGATTATTATTTAAATGCCTATTGCACAATAAAAAGCTAGAACATGCTTTGAGATTATTGAGTATTTAAATACTTATTGTACAATAAAAAGTTAGAACATGGAAGTAACCAGAAAGTATAACTACTAAATTAATCTGCTTGGCTAATATAATCAGGCAGATTCATCAGGAGTAGAAAAGTGGGAGGGTGGAAGAGGCACATTCACTATATTTCTTCAAGCCGTTAATAATATAACCTTTTGCACAAATATCGCAAATTTGAAATGTTACACACAGCAATCATCAATTAATAGGCATTTTTAGTTTTGTCTACAGTATCCCCTTGGTGGTGTACTTACCCCAGATCCACAGAATCGACCAAGTCCCACTGCTGTGGAATCGAGACTATCAAAGAGCTCAACATAGTCATAGCCACAATCAGCTTCTTCTTCCACTTCAAAGGTCTGAAAGGACAATTCAAGTCGAGAGCCTCCCTCGTTCTGACACTAACAACCACTCACAGTCCATCTGTCCTGGGTAGTTGTTATCTCCAAACTGTGCGTGTGAGTATAGCTCTCTGGGTTTGGGTTCCGCCTTCAAACCGCCCACCACACTCTACCAGGAAAGAAAAAGGGATTAGAAAAATGAGCTTCAACTGGTCCAATTTTCAACTTCAGTGTATTCTGACATTCTCCAACTTCTGTTTCCATTTCCAGGATCAGATGTAATTTCCACAACCCAAGAGCCTAAGTACAAAGACGAGAGCTCAGGCTGCCTGAGTTGGAATGTAAGCTCCAACACCTACAAAGTCTGTGACCTGGTCAGTGTTGTCCCTTCTCTGAGACACTGTTTTCCCCACAGTAAAATACAGATGATGATGTTGGCACCAATGTTAATGGGTTTTTAGGATTTATACATAAAATCTTTTCAAAACTACTGGTCACATAATAACTCTCAATAATTTTGTTGTTGTTGTGATTATACCTAATAGTTTTCAGTCTCAAGTAACTCCTTTTATGGTTAAAACAAACAAACAAAAACAAACAGGGTCTTAATTTGAATTTAACTTTAATAATGTCAGAACCCAGAATCCAGAATAAGAAATAATCTAAAATTCAACAGAATATATAAAATTCATGTGTGCGTGTGTGCGCGCACACACACACTACATAAAAATTCTACACAACATATATAGCACCATATTATTTTACTGTTAGAAATATTTATCTAACTAGATCCAGAAAAACACCAGGCATAATTAATTATACTTATCTTTGAAATTCCAGAACCAATTCAGTTACAGTTGGTTTGCTTGCTATAATGAAATATTTTAAATGCTCCTTTTGGCTTCTTTTTTAGAGAGATATTAATAAGCATATGATTTCCCAGTTATTAACTTTGTCACAAGAGGAAAATACATCAAAGAAATAAGTCAGTGAACATATAAACTTTTAGCTTGTTTTAGAAGGTAAGAGGTTTATAAAAATGTTCTCAGTAATCTTTAGTAGGTAGAAGCCCAAACTTTATAACTAGAGAGTAAGCAGAGGCCATGGGAGGCCACAGTGCCCACCGACACACGCCAACCTGAAAGGGAAGGGAGGAGAAAGATGGGCTCAGAAAAGTGTCAGGAGAAAGATTTTCTTTCTGTCCCTGTTTCCAAAGACTGAAAGGGTTCCTGGGAAGTAGGAATTTCAGTAATAAAACTAGGGAAGACCCAGGAAATATCCCATTTGGGAAATCTGGAGAAGCTAAACCACTGGGTACCAGGACACATAGTTGGGCGAGATAGTCCTTAGTGAAGATGGATCAGGCAGATGAATTCTTACTTGGATTTTCCATTTTTATATATGTATGGTTTACCTATATTGTGCTTTGGTGATTTTAAATAACAATATATTTCTGAATGCTAAGGCATGAATACCCAGTCAGCCAGGTTTACATGCACTGAAGGGCATTGTCACAGACAACTGCTCCTTCAGGGACCTTCTTGTGAATAAATTCTGAAAGTAACTTCCAACTGGGTTTCTAATCACAAGCATGCCTGTGGGGGAAGGTGGCTACAGTCAGTATAACTGTTCCTCTGTCTTGCAAATGATAAGTGGCCCATCTTGCACTATCTATTGACATAGTGCTATTGTTACAGATGTATACACTCAAGAAAGGCATCTTTGAAACTACTCCTGAAGGCTGGAATTCTGATCACTTCGGGGATTTCATGTCCCTTGTCTGGCAAACTGGAAGCCAAGAATCCTCCTTTTTCCAACACAATGTTTTTCTTATCCCAGGAACTCTATAAATAATTATTATCTTCCTGTGACAGACTTCCACAGTCAAACTGCCCAGATACAAATCCACACTTTGCCTACTTTGTCCCACAACTTCATTTGTAATTTTATTCTTTGTTTTGAAATATGGTTAGTATCAGGGATTCAAATTCAGGGCCTTCCACATGCTAAGCGTGTGTCCTACTATTGAGTTAGCTCTATCCTCTCACAACTTCACTTTTAAAATGGAGATCATACATAGTACACACATGTATGCGTGGATTTATATTTGTAAATGCTTGAATGGTGTCTGGCACACAGTTAAAAGTAATTGATATTTTAAGCTATCATCGTCATCATCATGATTTTTTCTTGGTAAGAACACTTAAAATGCTATCATCTGTAAACTGGGATCGATTCAGGTATGAAATGAAAAGTCACAAATATTGACCAACAATTCAAAACACTATTAATCTGCTATCAGAAAAGAAAAATTATATTTTTGCAGGCCAGTAAAACCATTTTGTGAAAAATATTTCTGAATTCAATACAAAAATACGTCAACCAGCTTGTAATCTCATTGGTAGGTTTTTCAAAAAAATTTCTACCTATTCTCCAAGTTCAGTATAATTGACAGGTCTCTTTTGTTTTGCAGGGTTAGCATTTGCATTGCCTTCACTAAACTGCCCAGGAAGTCCTGAAGGGAGCATCAGGAGATGTGGAGGGGGCCCTTGCTGGTGTGTGCCTGCTTCCTAGAAACAAGGCAGGGAAACAAAAGCATCCGAAAGAGGCAGTCCTCTGTCAGCCCCAGCCTGAAACAGAACTCAAGGAGGAAGTAAGCAGTGGAGCACAATGGGGAAAGAGGTTTCCCCAAGTCTTCATGAACCTAAAAATCACAGGAAGGTGTCATTACTCCATTTGACTGAAAACTGGTCTGCCTTGGGGGAAGTAAAAAAATAAAAATGACTTAAACTACACTTAAGGATATTTTTAAATGCTGCACTAAGTTCCCTTTTCATCTGTTTCAGTGCTCAATACCACGGATCACTGCTATACTAATAAATCTGAAAATGATGTTCTTACCATAAAGAGAGAGAGAGAATTTAGCCTAGATGAAGAACATTTGAAGGATGAATATGGGAACATTATGTGCAAAAGACGTGTGATTTTAATATGTCCTGAGAGAAAGTCCAGGACAGGCAGCCTGAGGGCAATTGCTTGAGTGTTTTATTTATTTTTTTAAAGATTCCCCATGGCTATTCAAACTCTGGTCAACAGCATTTAACAGGTCCCTTGAAAAGATGATTTTTTAATAGAGTCAACAAATTTTTGGCGAATATCCCTATTCATTTATCAAGTCAGAAAAACCTAAAACCAGTTGTTCAGTATGTCAGCAAATTTTTTTTTTTTTGAATCAATACTTTGAAAGTACTTTACGAGCTGCCAGAGAGAGAGTCTTTCACAAAATTCTGGGAAATGCAATTGGAGCTGAATAAGAAAGATAACTGGAAGAGAAGCCAAGGGGTGGGCTTCATTTTAATTTGGAAAGATGTGTTTACTTCCTGGTAAAGTATTACATTAAAGAAGAGGTGCCTGTAATTTGACCTACAAATGCTTTTAGCGAGCATTCTAATTGAATTGATTTTGATCAAAATAATTTCCAAGGAGCATAATCATACATTATTGGATTTTTAAATGTCATTGACAAATAATATGATGCTTTATACTACAAAAACGACGTCCTAACAGACAATGCCATGTTTAAAAATTACATATTTTCTCTCCAAGTTTCTCCCCTCTGAGAGAACAGTACTTCTTACTTCAAAATTTGCTTCTTTCAGTTAGTTTGATTTAGGCTGGAATAATACCAGTTGTTACCTGAGTAAAACAAACTTGGACTGAAAATCTGAACCAACTGTCAGAGGAAACAAGAACTCTCACTAATAAAGTTCATTTTTCATGAACTTGGGTAGTATAACTTATAAAAAAGTAGCCACAAAGCTATGTTAGAGCAATATTTCTAATTGCCTGGTTTTAAAAGTTACAGTATTAGAAGTTTCTATTGTAGATCAAATTGAAATTGTACAACGAAGTTTAAGTAAATTAAAGTGTATACTTGAGGACTTGTCTATAACAGTTACATGTATTCTAGAAGGCAGGACATAATGCAAAAATGCTTTACACATGAAGCAAAACTTGACAGATATGGTACTGGACTGGACTGTCTTGTCAGCAAAAACTTAAAGATAAACAGAAACCCAGAAACTCAATTTAGACTACAAGCTGTCCACAGACAGGAATTTCTTATATTGTCCTTACCACAGATTTCTGATTTTTTCCTATAAAATATGAACATGGCACATTGTCTAGTCAAAGCCAAGGCAAAAAAAAAATTGTTGAAAGATTACAAAATAAGTGAACTTGGAAGATATAAACATCAGTCAGTATAATCAGAATATTTGGCACATATACAGCACCCAGAAAATTCTAAGATAGCTAGGTAAATGAGAAGAAAACTTAAAATAATAACAAAATCTAATTAATCATGCAACTTTTGAGTTTCTTCATAGAAAAATAATAATAGTCATGGAATTTTACAGCTGTAAAGAATCTTTAGATTATTATTTCACAGATGATGAAACTGAGATTCAAAGAAATGACCTTTTCCAAAGTTCCCTGCCAGGTAAGTCATACTTGGACCAGGACCCAAAGGTATCAACACACTGGAACATAATTTAAGGTCAATCCTCCCAATTTATAAAGGATAAAAGGAAACATTGTAAAAGTAAGATTTTATAAAACTGAAAAAAAAATGTTTATAAACAGGCAATTTTGAATTTCTTTATCATTAGTTATTTCAATAATTTTTGACAGCATATTTTATACTATATTCATAGAAACTGATGGGCAGGAATTTTTTTCTTAAATGGCATAAACTTTGTGTTTTCAAAAATACTGATGAGCCAGGCATGGAGGCACATGCCTTTAATCCCAGCTACTCAGATAGTGAGTTCAAAGCCAGCCTCAACAAAAGCGAGGTATTAAGCCACTCAGTGAGATCCTGTCTCTAAATAAAATATAAAATAGGGTTGGGGATGTGGCTCAGTGGTCGAGTGCCCCCAAGTTCAATCCCCAGAATACCCCCTCCAATATTGATAAAATAATAGGATTCAAACCTTTTAAAAACTATGCTTGTTAACGAGTATTAAATAAGTCATCAGAAATATGTTTAAACAAAAATGTCAAATAGATGGAAAATCCTTAATATGAAATTGCCGCAGTTCATAAGAGATTTTTCTCAAACCATATTTATATTAATACATGAGAAATAATTAATTTGTATTATTTGTAGAGGTCCAATAATATCAGCATAAATGATATTTACTTTCTCATAGACTTCAATATAAATTAGTGCTCACAATAAAAATAGACTAAAAAATAATATCAGACAATGAAAACAAATCTCTAAATCAAAGAGAAACAAAGAAAATAGAAAATAATTTCATTGAAACTATTTCACAGCATATTATTTTTATATTAATATTTGTATATTATTAATTGTTTTATACAAAGTCTCTTCTGGAAATGTGTCAATTGTTTGTGCATTGTCAATGCCACTAGGTGTCACTATAAGCTAAATGACTTTAGGAAATAGCTACAATTTAAAAAAAGAAATCTTTTTGTCAAACTGAATGAAAATAAAGGATATTCCCTAGACAATTTCTGAAACATATAATTAAATTGTATTCACACCACAAGCAATTTTATTATAAACCGTTGCCTCAAATTTCTATTTTTCTCTTAAGAAAAATACAGTTGAAATTCAATCTCTGAAACTCAAATTATGAGTTTAGAATTAGGAAGGAAATCATGTTGTGTAACAAATAAAAGAAAAAAAATGGACTTCATGAAACACAGATGATCCCATACTTATTTACAAAAACATATTAATGCAAAAGTAGCTAAACTGGTGTGTTATTAGACACTGTATGAGTTTTCAATACCAAACTACAGATTTCTGTTAGCAGTAACACATAAGTTAAATTACTAAATTTAACACGAAGTTCATTATACAAATATTTAGAGTTAGTTCTACTTGACTCTACTATATTAATCACAAATCAAACTAAACATTTTTTTCTTCTAAGATATTTAAGTAGGGTACTGAGTGATTCTTGCAAAAAATTCACATAGTACTTTGAGATTTTTCTGTGCTCTGCTTAGAGAGTCATTTACAGTCCTATTAATGAAATACACATATTCACCAGAAAAGAAACCTGGGTCTTTGTCAGACAAGAGAAGCACAACCCTAATTTGCTGACCTGTAGAATGTGTTGCTTGAAAGCCTTTTCTTTGAACAGATGCATCAGAAATAAACCGAACAAACATTTTATTTCCAGTAGCCACAAGGGGATCTGGTATCTTGTTGCCACATAGTCGTCCAAGAATTGGGGACTTTTCTGTTTCTCCATCAAATACTTCTAAGTGATCATAAGCACATTCTTGATGCTGTTCAATCTCAAACTCACTAAAGGCCTATTTAAAAAAGAAAAAAAAAATTATAAGACCACAAATCACTCAAACTGAATTCTTTTCTTTGGAACTAAAATACATATGAATAAAATATGTTCCGGGCATACAAATGAGCCAATCTATAAAGCACATTATTCAAAGGACTGTGAAATCAATAGAATATGTAATCTCTAGGAAAGAACATAATGAGTCCAATAATATAACCGTGTATGAGAGTTTGGATCTTGAATGTTCAAAGGAAACAACCATGTATTAAAGGTTTAGCCCTTAGTGTAGGACTATTGGAAAGTATTGGAACCTTTAGAGACTGGGCCTTGTGGGAGATGTTAGGTTCACTTGAAGACCTTCCCTAAGAGTAGATTGTAGGACCTTAGCCTCTTCTCACTCTTATTTGTTGGCTATGGGGTGATTGGTTTTACTCTATGTCTACTGCTGCCCATGGTGTGTCACCTTACCATTTGCACAAAAGCAACAGAGCCAATTGACCAGAGACTCTAAAACTGAGTTACAATAAGCATTGTTTCTTTACAAGTCGACTCTCTTGATCATTTTTTATAGTAATGGAAAGCTGAATAATATAATGTGAAATTCTATTTTGCAAGTATTACAAATAATTCTACAATTGTAAATAAATCTTCATCTACACAGAACTGAAACAGTTTATAATAACAAAGTGGTATTTTATGCTAAATTTAATCCAAAGGATACATCAGAAAATTTTATGCAATTATGTTAAAACATTGATCACTTCTGGTTTTGATGATTGTAAGCTTGTGAACATTATTCTACCTTTGGACATGTAAGCCCATAAGAAAGTCCCATAACTGTTACCTTTTCACAAAATTTTAATGCAATAAATCTTTATAGATTAACTAAAACACAGGGAATTTTTACTATATATTTCTTATTTAGATCTTACAAACCATAATATTAAAAAACACTAATGTGACAATTCTATAAGGCTAGAATAACTTTAATTCATTTTTCAGGTAGATGGCACACTTATTTTACTATCTGGTATGCTGGAAAGTTTGGTATGCATAGCTATTACTTGTATGATTTACAAATTCTTATTTTTCCATGCAGTGATACTTATGTGTGAGTTTTAGCAAATTTAAAATTAAAATTCACTAAATATGTATATATATATATATATATATATATAATACATTAGAAATCATCAAGCAAAGTTTACTTGAGATGGATTAAAAATAAAATTGCCCAAGCTATTTATTAACTTCAGGAATTACAGGTTATTTGCTGATGTCAATTAAGGCTTATTCCTTTCCCTGGGGAAAAAACATCATATAGTGAAGAAGTAAACCATCATTCTTACTTAAGTCTATAAAGCAAAGCTAAAAAATATGAAGAAAATAAAAGAAATACAAAATATGCTTCAAAATTTATTAATTTTGCTGTAATTACCAAATACAATACTTGAACAATAAACTTTTGAAATATGTTTTAATTAATGAAATTTTGTGTCGTGGTCCTATTTTAAGTCTAATGGATGATAGTCAAAACAATTGACTCTCAGTGCTGATTTATTTCACATCACATCATACCACCTGTCACAGCCGACTTTAGAGGAATAAGGGAAGTAATGAAAGCAGCATTTGGTGTTAACTAGGGAGTAGGAGAAAGTAATGAGGTTGCTTAAAAAAGCGAGCAAAGGAAAGGAAGAGGACTGATCTCTTTTATGAATTCAACTTGAAAAGTATAAATAAACCTGTGGTAGCCAATAAACATTAAAAGTCATTATTAGATGTAATTTATTATGGGCCAAAAGGAATGCTCAGTTCATTTCACCAAAAGGACTGGAGAGAACAAAAAAAGATTGAATGTAACACAAAGATTCTCACTGGAAACAAAAAACTAACAAGTAAAACAGTAAGTAAGAAAACTTCACCAGAGTTCATTATCCTGAAGCACAATATGCAAAGCAGGTCATCCCTGAAGGAGTTCATTTTATTAATTTATTAATAATCTACAATTTCTGTAATCTCCAGTTTCTCCATTCTGTTAGACTGGAGTTTATTAATTTATTAATAATCTCCAATTTCTTCAATCTGTTAGACTGGAGTACAGTAGACACTGGACAGGGGCTGCAGAAGATCATGAATGGATGTCTGGATGTCTCGGGCAGTATGTCAGTCAATTACTTCTCCACCCATCTTATGTTTATAGCAAACTTTGTAGGAAAATGTTGTAGACGTGGCCAACGAAAATTTCTGGTTTTCTGTTTCTCATGAGAGGGTACTCAATCAGTTCCAGTTACCTCATTTTTAAAGATATACTAAAGAATAAAGCTAGGGGCACTTGACCCACTGAGCCATATCCCCAGCTTTTTTTTTCTTTTTATTCTGAAACAGGGTCTTATAAAATTGCTGAGAATGGCCTCAAACTTGGGGTCCTCCTGCCTTAGCCTCGTGAATCATTGGGATTACAGGCATGCACCTATACACCTGGCTTACATGCACATTCTGGTGTCAGTTTAAAACTAGTGAGAAACCACTTCGAGAAAATTGACTCAACTGCACCCATTTAAATTTTTATTACATATGAAACCAAGTCTCTGAATTAAAAGAATAATGTTATTTAAGAGGATAAAACATTGTTTCAGGAAAACGACAATATCTGAAAATCATTGCATGCTGAGTAATCATCTCTTTTGATTGTTATATTGTTTTGATTTATTTAATGAAATTTTGTGTTGTGGTCCTATTTTCAGTCTATTGAAGATAGTCATAACAATTGACTCTCAGTGCTGATTTATGCCACAGCACATCATACCACCTACTGTCACATCTGACTTTAGAGGAGTAGGGGAAGTAATGAAAGAAGCATTTAATATTAACTAGGGCATAGGAGAAAATAATGAGTCCACAATAATGTATGATACATAATTTCTTAACCTTATTTTGTGATAGAAAAGAGCATGTTATAGAAAGAACATGGCACCCTACTATACAGACAAGAACATTCTAAGAAGGATGGGGATAATGCTGTTCTAAAGTATAATCCCACAAATAGTTTATTAAATGTGCCTCTGTATTTGCAGACCACACATGTTTAACCCATTCGCTGGGCCATTGGAAACTAAGTGAATGAGATGAATAAGCAACTATTTCACTCTCTAATGAAATGCAGGATGTCTGGAGTAAATAACAACATCTGTTTAAAATAATGGAGCAACACCACACAAGGTGGCATTGAGCTGGGCTGTGGGCCATACTGACACCTGGTCTGGAGCCAAATGGCTACAACTTCCTATCAAATTACTAATGGAATCAGATTGAGTCTACAGGAGTTAAATTAGTCAAAGATTCCATGGCTGACGTATGCTCAAGTGATACAAACAATGCTTATTCATTAACGTATTAGTGAATTTTCCTCTTGGGATAGGTAGCAGCTTGTTCTGTCAAGTGCAAAGATTTGTGTGCACCTTTTCCAGAAGTCAGCCTGACCTAAAATGCCACCACACACAATCAGAGCCATGCCTAACTCACATGCTGATGTCTCATAAATCTGGTCCTTATGCCACAGAAACACCCACATACAGAGACCTCCATATATAATGACTTCACCTTAATTAAAAAAATACCTCTAGGCCACAGAACGGTATTTTCAGGAGCCCTTGGGAAACTGTATTATCTTGGAGTCCACAATGATAATGTTTGACACACAGTTTATTAACCTTATTTTGTGACACATGATGAACTATGAATCTCTAAGAGTTATAGAATTGGAAATTTTCCAGCTACCAGGAGGAGACATAGCTCAGAAGACATTCAGATTCCCAAAAGGTCCTTCAGGTACACAATAGGGACAGTATAACCCACAAGGTTGAATGTATGTAGCTGTAAGGAATTCTGACTTCTGACAAAACATCTCCTCCCTGCCATTATTTACTTAAGTATTCTATTCTTAAGCATTCAAATTAAGACTTCATAAGCATTTGGGCATCAAAATTTTAAAGCACATGCATTCCATGATTATATTTCCATGATTTTAGGGTTACTAATTAAGGTTTTAGGGCTAAACACAGCAGATAACGATGAGCTCTAGTCAGAAATTTTAATGCATTTCCCATAAGGCAAACTAAGAGGTTAAGAGTCCAATTCAAAAAAATAAAATAAAATAAAAACCAACTTTTATTATAGGCTGTGGAAATAATAACTCTCTTTCTGGAACACCCATGCATGCCTAATCTACCTGGATGGCCACTGGCCAAGCTTCCATATGCTCTCTGGTCATATGAGCATCTGTAAAGATTCTTTTATTGAAACTACAGGCATTAGTTAAAGGAAGAGGCCATGTAGAATAACTACATATATTCACAAAGGTAGAGATAATAAAATGATTACGTATAATGCAGAAATAAAATTTACCTAGATTGAACATTTAAACTAAGAGAATTAAAGAGATGACGCAGTTTGAGGAGTGGAGAGATAAGCTTTAGAGCTCTTAGTACCAGACATCTTTCACCTTTTCCTGTTTTTCAGTAAGAACTGTCATTTGGTTTCCCACAAGATATTTGAAGGATTAGAGGCCACTGGAAAAAACAGCAGACTGGAATATAAACCCCAATCTTCTGATTCAAAAAGCCCCCATTATTTTCCACAAATCTTCTATAACTATGATTAAATATACTTTTTATGGATTTATAGTAGAGAGTTATATGAGAGTTGTAGATGTCTTGCTTTTTAAATATTCCATATTTGAAACTGTACATTGCAAGTGTATGTTACTTAGCAAAACTCTAATAAGATATGATAAATCACACAAAACTACACAAGCACATTAGTCTATTGCCAGATGATCCTAGCCTAAAACTGTTTTCGTTTTCATTTTTAATGAAGATTAGTTTAAAATACAAAAAAGATTGCCCAAAACTTAAAAGATTGTTTGAATCTCTCAAAATTAAGATATGATAAACCCAGGAATATAGATCAGATCCTTGTTCTTATTCATTCAGAACTTTATTTCTTTTATAGTAGGAAGAATTTTTTTCAGCCATCTTTTGATTAAGTACTTTTGATCTTACTGAAAAATTATCGTGTATTTATCATTTTATGACTGAATACATAAACACACACATTACATTCAGGATTACTGTATCTATTTCCTGTCACTGCTGCAGTCAATTACCACAAATTTAATGACTTAGAATGGCACAGATATAGTCTCCTACTATCTTGGAGGTCAGTAGTCTAAAATGGGTAGAAAGGCCTTTCTTTCTAGAAATCTTAGGTGACAATTAGTTTCCTCCAAGTTTTCAGCCTTTAGAGAGGTCTGCCTTTCTTAGCTCATACCCCTTGCTCCAGCTTCAAGATCTGTAACGTAGCATTTTCTCTATTCTCTGATGTCCCACCTCCTTCTTATAAGGACCCTGTATCCAGACGACCTCCCCATTTGAGATCCTTAACTTCATCACATCTACAAAGTCCCATTTGCCATGAAAGGTTCTGGGAATTAGAACAGGGATGTCTTTGAGGAGTCATTATTCTGCCTTCTACAGAACATAAAGACTAAATGTTTTTATCCTCCCAGTTCATGTCATTTTTTTTTTCAGAGAAAGTTAACACAAACTCTTATCAGTCTGATTACAAATTCTTATTCCTGACTTTCTTTAATTCTTAACTCTGGGGAACACAAGCTATAGCCCCCATGGAACAAATCTGACCTACAGTCTGTTTTAAGATAATCTTTATTGGTACACAAGAGAATACATTATTTATATATTTTCCGTGGTTGTTTTCACACTAAAACATCAATATTAAGTTGTTGCAACACATATTGTATAGTCTACAAATGATGTTACATTTTTCTACATGACCCTCTAAATAAGAATCTTTCTGAAAAGGAAGCATTAGCAACATTTTCATTTGTTAAGACTGAATTTCATATTCATAAATCTATGCAAAAGGCTAATAATCCTGATAAACATAGATGTTAAAGATTCTCAATAAAATACTAGTAATATAATTCAACAAATTAAAAAGATCATTGACCATGATCAAATAGAATTCATCCCCCAATAATGCAGGGATACTGCAACATATGCATATAATAGTTGTCATACATCACATTAACATAATAAAGGACAAAACCCAGATGATTATTTCAATAGAAAAATAGAAAGCATTTAACAAAATTTCAAAGTTTTCATAATGAAACTCTCAACAAAATATTACAGAAGAAATCTATGTCAACAAATAAAAGTCATATATGATAAACCCATACTCAGCATAATACTCAGGAGAAAAAAATGAGAAACTTTTCCTGTAAGATCTGAGATAAGAAACAGATGCCACTTTTGCCACCTCTTCTCACTAAAATACTGGAGGTCCTAGCCAGAGTGATAAAATATGAGAAAGAAATAAAAGGCATACATATCACAAAGAAAGAAGTGAAACTGTCCCTGTTTGCAGATGATGTGGTCTTATATTAAAACAAAACAAAAATAAACAAACTAAAGACTCAAACTGTTAGGCTAATTAATTCTCTGGAATTTCAGGGTACAAAAATCAATATATAAATATCAAGAGCATTTCTATATATACTAACAGGAAACTATCTTATTTACAATAGCTACAAATACAACAGTTGGGAATAAATTTAACCAAGAAAGTGAAAGATGTCTATACTGAAAATTATAAAACACTGCTGAAAGAAATTGAAGAAGATATCAATAAATGAAAAGATATCCCATGTTCATGGAATGAAAGTTAATATTGTTAAAATATCCATGTTAGCCAAAGCAATCTACAAATTCAAAAAAATACTCTCTATCAAATACTAATAACATTCTTCACACAAATTAGAGAAAACAATTCTAAAAATTGTATGGAATCAGAAGAGACCCCAAATACCCAAAGCAATGTGAGTAAGAACAACAAAGTTGGTGACATTGTACTACTTGGCTTCAACACACACTCCAAAGCTGTAGCATTCAGAATATCATGGTATTGGCACAAAAACAGACACATGGATCAATGGAACAGAATTGGGAGCTGAGAAATAAATCCATTAATTTACAGCAAACTGAGTTTTGATGCAGGTGCTGCAAACACAAAATGGGGAAAGTATGATCTCGTCAATAAATGTTGGGGAAACCAGATGTCCACATGCAGGGGGATGAAAGTGGACCCTTCTCTCATGCCAAATACTAAAATCAACTCAAAATAAAAATGAATTAAAGACAAATGTAAGTCCTACAACTGTGAAACTGATAGATCAAAACAAGGGGGAAACTCCGTGGCAGATAATCTTTACTCTGAAATTAAACCAGTGTTCACCAATCATACAAAGAACATTTTGCTAAAACATTTCATTTCTTGGCTTGACTGTATTTGTGACCATACATAGAGCTAAGACTTGTAGGGAGGTAATTTGGGTTAAGTTAATTTAAAGGAGTAGAGCTTTAATCCTATAAAACTGATGTCTTCAAAAGAAGAGTAAGAAAAACTGAAATCCTTTCCTTACACATGCATAAAGAGAAAAGGGGAACAGGAAAAAAGAAGCACCCCCCAAACACCAACCCTATAGGCAATTTCTGATCTCCAGAACTGTGAGAAAATAAATTTCTGTCACTCTGTCTACTGTAGCCCAAATTGACCAACACGGATGGAACCTATAACAGTGAATTAAATGAGAATACTAGAAAGATTAATAAGAACAAGGTAAAAAAGACAGAGTGCTTTTAAAAAGTTCAGAGAGATTCAAGATAGCTGAAGAAACAGTCACTGAGCTTGAAGAAACATCAGTTGGAATTACTGAAACTTAAAACTTTAGGTGACAAAAATTAAGACAACATGCAAGTGTTGTTGGAAGATATCAAACATTTACTTTGAATCTGGAAGAAGAGACACAGTGGTGCAGAAGAATGCTGTAAAACTTTTGAATTTCAAGAATGCAGAAATTGTAGAGAACTTTGAGAAGGTGACTTTTAGAAAATTACTAAACAGACACATATCTAAACAAACCCACCATAAACAGACACATTATATTCAAACTTCTAATAAAAATAAAAAATTGAAGGTATCCATAGACAAAATTATTCTTTATACAGAATAAAGATAAAATTTACAAATTATTGGAAACTTTGAAAGCCTGAAAATCCCATTGGAGTAAGGTGTTTGAAGTGCAAAAAGAAAAATAAAATAGTCATCCTAGAATTCTACACTCAATGAAATATCTTCCAAAAGTGATACTGTATACATTCTCTATACAACATAAGAGGAACTTCTTCAGAATACTCTGACAAAATTATGATCTACATAAATTCATGCGATCAGGAAAATCCATTTTCCAAACTGAATTAGCTGGCTGCGTTGCTGAATAGATGCAGCCTCCACATTTCAGCCCATAAGGTTCAGAGAATTGTCCTCTCAATCAGGACCTTGGACAGGACTAGAAAGCAATGGAGTTCCTACAGGGCTATCATCTCAGCATTTAGCTGAGAGGAATGGAGTTCCCTCCATTTGCTGTATTTGTGAGTGATTTTTCAGACAGAGACACTAGTTCATTTCAGTCACAAATACAGCAAATGGATGGATGGAAATCCATACTAGGGATATGAATGTTTTGTTGCTGTCTCTGATTTTATCATAATACCACATTTGAATAAAGCCTCTTTTTTTGGCTAATAAAATAACATGAAATGAAATAAATTCACTGAATGGAAAGATCCAAACAGGAAAATTACAAATTAACCTTATGGCTCAAATGGTTCAGAGAACTACCTTGGATTGGTAGCCTCTTTCCTAAAATATTTTTTGTTCATTACTATAGCGCTTCCTACAGTATGTCCTAATCCTTGCTAGCTAGCATTTTCCTTGGCTTCCATAAATAACATATTGTAGGAAATAGTTTAATTTTCTATATTTCCATTATTTTATTTCTTTAAAGTGTATAATTTATAGATTCTGTAATCTATAATGAAATATTTACTATCAGACAACCAATTTAAAAAATGTAAAAGGGAAGACAAATTTTGTGTTCATATTTAAATGACTCACATAGAATAACATGTGAGAAAAATATAGGAATATCAGTATCTTATTAGATGACAATAGATTATACAAAAATGATACTTTACACACCATAAAATAATATCCATTCTATTGTAAGAAGACATACATTTTTTTGTATAGGAAGCATACAGAATTGACATAACTAGTAGAATATATTAAGTTGTATAACTTGTGTTTAAGTAAATGATTATTCTGTTTTTTTAATGAATTTCCTTTTCTTTCTTTCTTTCTTTCTGGTTTTTTGTTTTTTTTTTTTTGCTTCCTTCATTTATTCTCCCCTTTGGAAACATCATTACCAGTAACATTAGGTAATAAAGTTTGTTGTTTGTAGTTACTTTGATAATGCCCTCTAAAGTATAAAGTAAAAGAATCCTTAGAGGAGAACAACATAGCTGTCACCTTGATCTAGGAAATCAAGAATTAGTTAGTGTAAGTAAGCATAAGAAGAAAAATCTTTCCCAGCTATCTACTGATTCAATTCAATTGAATAAACAACCCCCCCCCCCACCACCACCACCATGTGCTAGCTGCAAAAGACATGGGTCTACAGCTCAATAGAAAGAAAATGGGCTAACTTACCAATTTAATCCGGTGGCCGGGGGTGGAGCTGATTTCCCATGTGCACTCCTTCCTGCTTGGATACTTGTCTGGCCAGTTGGGACTGGTGATGAGGCCACTTGGGCTGTGGATCTTCTGTTCACACTCAGCTGTGCCAATAACGATAATATCAGTCAGTGTGGAATCTAGCTCAGGATTGGGGCAGAAAACAAGCAGCCTATTTGCCCACTGCTCTGTTGAAAGATCTTTCTGAATACTAGCTAATCATCACTCTGGTCTCTGTTATCATATTCATCTGCTTTGGCAAATAAGTTGCTGAGCATAATTATGCAATGTTTGTTGTCTGACTCACTGGAAATTAAGTGTTTGCCACAAATCAGATAAATGCCTAAAATAAAAGGAACTCCTATTTTAAACTGCTGGATCCATAAACTCAGACTTTAATAGAGCAACATATATTGACAATCAAGAATATCAACACTGGGTTTTGCAAAATATGTAATGCATTGCTACAAACAAAAATCAATGAACTATGCCATTTTAAAATCTTTTTTTAATTTCCCCATTAACAGAACATCACTTTCATCTAATTAATATCATTAAAGCATTTTAGAAATTATATATTTATATTTTCTCTCTCCCTTAGTGAAGTATACACTTAAAAACCTAAGTCACAGTTTTAGTTGCCAAAATAAATTAACCTCAATTTCATTAAAGCAAAATGAAGTACTAGGGATAAAAAATAGCTCCTTAGCCTTGGAGACAGCTTTTAAACTAACTAGAAAGAATATCTCATTCCATTAGCATAAAATTTCTTATGTTTCTATCAGTTCAGACGAGACCATTCCATACTTAGTATCAAGTTTCAAAGTATTTGATGTCATCAGGCTATGTTCACTGTAAGTAATTTGTGAAGCTATACCCTAGAGATCCTGGTTTAGGCTGGAATTATTTGTTACATATTGTAAACTATAAATGATTTTCTAAAATTTTCCAAGGAATCTATTTGGGGAAATTAATTTACTATATAAACAATACACCAGCATACTGCAGGGCCACACAACAAGGGTCCATGCTCAATACAAATTCATGCAATTGATGTTATCACTGCTGCCATTATTGCATTCCTTAATCTACACCTTCATCTTAACCGCAATAGTTCTCTGTAGGAAGATTTGGATTTGCAATGTGGAGGAATATCAAGAAGATACAGGTGACATTCAGCTTCTGGCAAACAAATGAGGATTACGTAGCAAGACAAGAGCAGGCCCTGGTTCCATCCCAACTCTGGGGGTGGGAAATAAAAATAACAAGAAAGAAAGAAAAATTCTGGATCCCATTATGGAAAGGGTTTCTTAAATTCCATCATCTCTGTTTTTGCCTTGCCACATGAAATATGGAGTCTACCTGATTTATAATAGCCTGCAACAAAGCAAACAGGCTTACTGCTAAACTATATAAGGTGCATATGCTACAGCAAAGGTAAAAGAAAATTCAACCTTTTTCCTGGCAATAAAAATTAATTTTATTAAAGGGTACTTGGACATCATTCTATCTAAATGGAAGTTTTCTATAAAATTACTTCTGGAAATATTAGCTACTTAAAATATTAGGAAGATATTTGTTATCTCTGAGACATGGGTCACATGCACATTCTGCAAAAGCTGCTTCGTGTTTTTCTCTGAATTACCTTCCATTTCTGAAGGGGAAAAAAAATTCTGGGCCTGTTGCCCAGACTGTTGATTTAATAGCATATACTACCAAGTTACAAATATGCTCATACAGGAAAGCAGAGAGAAAAAAAAATTCCTGGTTGCATATGATCCTGTACAATGCCATTTTCTTCAAAAAAGAACAAAAAAGAAAGAAAGAAAGAAAGAAAACTTGCCAACTTACAATTCTAAGGTATATACAAGAAGTCCATTATCTAACTGGGATTTTAGTCAGGTCCTTCCAATGTACATACACAGAATGATGAGTGGTTATAAAAAAAACTTACTTAATAATTCTCTTTTTGAAATAGGCATAAATCCAATTTAAGTAGAAAATTCCAGAGTAGACTCTCAAAGGAAGAAATAAGACCTGAATAATTATCTCCTGTTTCCATATAACTCACAGTAGCTGAGGGGAATAAAATTATTGTTTTTAAAAATCTTGGAATTTTTTAAGACTTTGGAAACAAAATCTGGCAGGCTAGTATTGTGCTACTGGTGTGCTTGCTTTTTATTTTCTGGCCAAACCCTGACTTAAAACTTTAAATGGCATATACCATTTTCAAATGTCTTTCCCTTGGTAGACATTTGAGCTTGATATGTCTGATATTTAAGGCACATCACTCATGAAGCTCATGTATGAGAAATTTGGGGGAGGGCTATAACACCAAATTTAAAACATTTTTCAGAAGTTCAGTTTATATACGAATAGTGTTGTAAGGTCTATTCTATAAAGACCTGAGGATAACAAGTTGATTTTTGGCTACCAGATGGCTTCATAGCAACTTATGTATCTCATATACAAGTTACTCTAATGGTGCCCACATGTGACATGTAAAATCTTTTGGTAATATAATGAGGTTTCCAGTTATATTATATTATATGGGATCTATAAACATTTCACAATTTTTTTTAATTTTTATTTTTGACCTCTGATTATTCAACTCATTGATATGATTAACTCTCCTTAGAAGCAGAATGTTTTTCAAATCACATAAAATTTGAGATGTTGTCAAGAAAAGGACATTTCTTTCCATACCTTCCTTGCAGTCATGTTTATTCTCATGCAGCACAAATCCATTACGGCACTGACACATGTAGCTTCCCACCGTGTTGATGCATTCCTGCTGACACCCACCATTATCCTTAGAACATTCATCTTTGTCTAGCAAGGAAATAAACCCCATAGTTTAGTAAGTAGCTTTTAAAAAAAATACTCTTAAAGGACAGTCACTTATTAAGGTGAGCAATGGCCAAGGGTAAACTAAGTCACAACTCCCCCTGTGATCAACATGAAAAAAAATAGAAATTTAAGGTGTCTTAGTTTTACCCTTTTCTTGTTTAGCTAGGAGCCTTGTACCATGGAATGAGTTTCTGAGAATACTTGTGCTAGGATAACAACTTACAATATTCTTTCACTTCTATACTGGAGTAAAACTTTTGAATAGGGAAAAAAACAGTTAACAGATCCTTTCCCAATTTATCCACACAGTGACTGTGAATTTTTTAGAAATGAATTTAAAATCACTAGTAGCTTTAATGAAGGCAAGAAACAGCATTTATGTAGTGGTCAAATCCTTCATTATATTAACCATGGTGTACAGACAGAGGCTAAACAAGTTTCCAAGATTTGTATGTAATTGCTTTAAAAAAAATCACTCAGTATAACTACTGTAGTTGATTTTTTTTTTCATTAACTTTGCAGATATGCTTGGCATTAATGAATCTGGACATTTCAAAACATTCCAAGACAGAAAAGACATCGTTAGACCATCTTAAAGATGAAAGTTAATTTATATTTTAAACAAATCTACTCTGGCAGACTAGTTTATTAATAAGTCATCCTCTAAAAAAGCTTTTAGTGTGCTAGAAGTAAAGGTTAAAATAGGAAATATGAGCTTTAGGAAATAGTCAATATATTCACTACAGGGAGAAAGCCAAACTAGATTAACAGGCAGTCGATTCAGTGACAGGCATCAGCTGTCACACTACGTTACTCAGCTGTCATCCCATGGCTGGCATGTCCCTTTAAGCCAAACTGGCAGGTTGCTCCTGACACACATATAGGGTGGCATATCACTCAGACGTTCATCACTCCCACACACAGAGAACAAAAAGGACACAGTACAGTCATGTTAGAGGTGAGATGAATTCAAATTTTTCACTGTCAGCTGATTTTGCTGGTGAGAAATAGTGAGTTCACATGACAAACAGTTTGCTATTTTGGCTTTTATATATTTTTTGTTTATTTTTATTAAATAATCTGCTAGCAATTTTGAAAGATGCATCTACTTTTTCCACTTTTAAAGATTGACTGCCATGACAAGCACACACAGGTTCCAGGATACATTCATACATTGGCAGAATATTTCAAATACATACAGGTATTCTCCAGTCTTTAAAGAATATGTAAGAATCAGTAAATTTGTGATTTATGTTTTCTCTGCCTATCCTTGCCATTTTCATGATTCTTTTAATGCTTATTATGGGAACTAAGCAAAAAAAAATTAAATAAAGATAGTTCATCTCTAAAAGAGTAACAAACACCAAACTGCATAAGAAAGCAGAAATTAATAGAGAATTAACATCATAAAGTTAATTTTAGATCAATTTATCATATCTTAAACCCCATTACCTTAACTGTGTCAACACTGAAGATTATTGGTTATGAATTATGAAAGATAAAAACAGAACGGATGGATGGTAAATTATATTTATTATTGCTAACTTGTCACTTGCTTGCATTTCCTAATTCACATAGTTCAGCAGTAAATTTTTTAAATATATTATTTTATCATAAGAAGCTTTAGAAAAAGCCTTCCTCATGAGTGAATATAGATAAAAATCTTCTTCATTAAATGAAAAAGGACTATTTAAAAATTTTTTTCTGGTAGTACAATTACTCTGAAATAGAAACACACTTCTTATGAAAATGTTTATATAATGATTTGTTGTATTTAAAATAAGACACAATAGAATGAACTTCAGAATGGATTATGGTCAACTAGACTTTTGAGAATGGTATGAAAACCTAACCATTGTAAGCAAAGTAGCTTAGAGAACATGTGTTCCCTTTTGTAACTGACTGGTAAACAAATGGACTGCTCAAGGACCCACCCTGTGGGGGTGAAGTTGCCTGATTCCTCCTTTCATTGGTACCTGTGTGGATGGTCATGCATGGGAAGTACCAAAATGTTAAAAGAACACATGTATTATTACAGAGTGTTTAAATCCATACTCATGGTATAGTCAAAATAATTCCAACACATCAAACTTCATTCTAGTAGGAATATCATTTCACTAGCTAATCTTTCCAAGTGTGATTAGTTTCAAGACCTCATAGGACATAGCTGAGCTATAGTAGTGGTAACTGAAAGAATTCCAAGTAAAACCAATCATATTTTAATAGTTTTTTTTTTCCAATCAATTATTCTTATTTCTATTGTGCTGAAAAAAATAACTTTTCAAATAATATTTGGAAGAAAGAGGAGGAGAAGAAGAAAAACGGGATAAATTGTAGAACTAGAAGATGAAGCATTATTATTATATTATTATTTATGTAGTCATTATTTTCTAAGTATCTGTTATTTTTTACTTTCCCAGTTTGTCTGTGTTTCCTGCCTCCCTCCGTTCCCACATCGCTTGTTTCTTATTTTAGTCAAGGTCCCATGAAAGTTAAAAGTCATCAATTAGGCTGCTAGAATATATTTATGGGTTAATCTATGCTTTAGCCAAGATGCAAAACTGGACTAATCAAAATTGTAACTAAAAGCAGCAGAGGGAAGTTATCATTTCCAGAAAGGTAGCATCTAAAACTGAGCTCCTTGTGTCAAATGGTCATATGAAAAGAGAAAATTTCATGAAATCATTGGAATACTTAAAATGAGCCAGATGTTTTACATCATGCAGACAAAAAAAAAGCCCATATTTTTTTAACTTAATAGTTTGTCTAGAAAATAGTGAATACATTGGAGTCGTTTGAAGATATTTTTAATAGAGATAATTAATTAACTATTCTAATTAAAGTAAATTCAGTTTTGGATTTTCTTCGTTTGTGAGAAACAACAATATCATAAAAGAAGAATTCCACCAATATGTTCTGTATTTCTTACTTATGAAAGGCCATCAAACTAGCAGGGTATGGAGGAGAAACGTTAACAACCATGATTGACTAATGTTGTCCCTTTTCCCCTCTCAGGACCTAACTTCACAGACTTTTCACAGAATGAAGAATTCAAGAAAAAGGGAAAGAGAGGAGGATGCAGAGTATTCAACATTTCTTAAAATGCCTGCATAATCAATTAAATAATTGAGAATTCAATCAATTATTCATTTGAAATTTTCTGGCATTTTCATAGAGTAGACACACAATGAAGAAAAATTAATAGTTTTTATTAGTAG